TTCAACTAGCTCTATCTATGTACATTCATAAAGATAAAATGTATAATCTTCATATGGTACACTGTAAAATGTCGTTTCAGTAAAATGTCGACGTAAACAAATCTGCCGACTCTCAAATGCCAGGTTAATTACCATAGATTTCGTTACAAGCCTTATTATTCATTGCCAGACACAAAACTATCGGAAAATGTAAATTGGTCCAATGGAATGATTAGGCGTTAAATGCATTCGACATCAACTCTGTTAAAATTAAATACTAAAAATACAAAAGCCAAGAGGCTAGGCTAGATACTATTACGTGAATGCATTTATTTTACCCTAATACTCCTAAATAACAATTGTCCTACTACTTGTCTCGTCCACGTCCATTTTTCATGGCTTTCATACTTTTGGTCATAACGGTGCAAATAATTGCTGGAATGATCCACATACGTCTACGTAGAATGGTCGGTTCCGTTACGAATATATAATACACGTTATATATACTCTACATTAAATATAACAACAAGTTTCGTTCTCGACTTTTACCATGCCGATCATCTTTCTGATCTTTATTCGCATTAACAACAGTATGGTTCTAAAAAAAATAAATCAATTTTTAATTTTCAGTCTTAATTTCTACTGTTGTCGGTTGCTATTGTTGTTGATATTGTTACTGCCATTGTTACTGTTGTTATTGTTATTTGGATTATTGCTACTGCTGCCGCTGTTGCTGTTATTATTATTGTTGCTGCTGTTGTTGTTGTTAGTGTGGTGGTGATTGTGGTGGTGGTGGTGATGGTTGTTACTGTTTAGCGTAGGGTTTAGACTGGGGTTTCCAATGTTGTCTATCTCGCGCTGCGCACGTGAAATTTTTACCTTGTCCCGCGGGGTTCCATCTTCACCGGTTTCCATCGCAAACATCTTCATTTTCTCTTTAAAACTGAGCTTTTCAGGTACCTGTCCCACTTGAGAGCTTTGTTGCTGTTTTTGCTTTTCAGCGAGTCTTCTTTGCCTAGGATCCCTAAACGGCCAAGCGAAAAGCTACAGTTTATCTTCTGATTATTATTATTATTATTACTATACCATTCGAGAAGAACAAGATTAGTAAGTCATGGCTTGTTACTTGTATACTTCCTGAGCACCTATAACGCCAGGCGTACTACCAGTAATCGCAGTTCCACTGGATCCTTCGGGCGTTTTTGGAGATGCCAATAAAATTTCCGCGTCGTTTATGAAATTCTGAAAATGCGGTTTGCACAGTGATTTTGCGATTGATTGAACTTTCAGCGAGAGCACACACACACACACACACACACACGCGCGCGCGCGCGCGCGCCAGGAAGCTAGCTACTAGCTACACAGTATAGTTGGCTATACGCTGAATCAATGATTTAAGATTTAATCGCGTAATGAAAGTTAAACGCTTTAAAATCGATTACTGCGCCAGAGAGATAATCAATTCCGAGTGTCGTACCCGTGCAACAAGAAGGCTCGTCAAGTTTTTCTGTACAATGCAATTTACACGATAGTTGTAAGTAATTGAATCGTTAAAACGAGATTAAACGTACGATTAGAAAGATTTGATTGAGACGTTGATTGGAAAAATATACGCATATGCGTGCAATCTAGCTTACATTTGGATCTTCTGTAACGACATCCATAGTCAGGACTTGACTCGTGTTGGAATTTCCAGACGAAACGTTTCGTTGCATAGACTCTGTATTTGCGTTCGAATCGTGAAAAGAAACTTTCTTAATGGACGTCGATTGCGGCTGAGTTAACGTTATTATATTTGATATGTTTGCATTGTTTGATCTGAGAGTACTCTGCTGCGACATGACGGCGTAACTGGAACCTCGTTCCGGAGGCAAGGGCGCATCGTTGCTGGCGTTTTGCGTGGCTGTCAAACATATATATATATATA